GGAACTCATTTCACTCACTCTTGCCAAGTAAGATATGTATGCCATTTTATAAGAAAGCCATTCCTGCAATAATTCTCACTCAAGTTCAAAATAGGTCAATAAGTAACTGAAAAGTAGTAAGTCTGCTCTGTGGTCATTGTGAAGGAGATTATTTTAATCTTTGCACAAAGGGGATTGGAAGCCATGTGCCTTAGAAAGACCTGAATATGCTGAATTATTCCTCGTTAAAAGGTTTTTTTTTGAAATTTAAGAGTGTGTGAAGCAATGTGTGTCATGTATCCTTTTCTCAAAATGAAGTCACCTAAACTACTGAAAGTTTGAAGTAGAAGATAATTAACTCTTGCATTTTAATGACTCAAAGCACTAACACCTTTGAAGGAGTTTTCTCAACACTGAAAACCATTGAGACAGCTGAATAGTTTTAGTAGTGATACACCTCCTGAATTATACTCAGTTGCATGTCTAGAAGTCAGTCTGTGCCTAAAATTAAAACATGACTAAACCCAAGCAATGAGTACTATGGAGAAGCAAACTAGACCAGAGGGAAAAACTAAGGCTGAAAATACGTATAGGGCAGAAATATGCAGAAGACGAAGGCTATCCATAAAAAATTGGCTATTGCGGGTAGACATATTAAAATTTTGGCTAAATGATTCTGGAATTTTATCACTAAGGAACAGGAATATCAAAGAAAAAAAGTATCTATTAAGACTGTTATAGTGAGAACCTAGAAGCTGTCACTTCCTTGTCTGTCTTAGGAGCAGAAGGATTAATCCTGTACATATTATCTGAAATGTCCTCTCTTGGATAGTAATATAGGGACCAACAGCTTAAACCCATCAAGGTTACCTTATGTAGGTTTTGGAGGAAGACATTTGATTGTGAGGTAATTTTCAAACAAAGAAAACATGCTGCTGGAGCAGAAAAAGTAAATTTTTTCCATCAAATAATAAGGATAAGAACTGTTTGAAAAATATTAAGTTTATCAAGACTTTTCTGTTTTACTTGGAGATACTGAGACAGAATTATATTGCAGAAGATATAGGGTACTCTGGAACAAAATTGGAGTGATTTCTTTTTCTAGAAACTTCTAGACAACCTCAATCTCATCAAACCCAAAGAGAAGGATACCTATCTTTCAGTCTTTTATGGAAGTGGACCATAACTGGAGACAAATGTAGAAGGATTTCAAGGATAAGGAGTGATATGGAGTGAAAGTGAAAATCTTTTACTCATTCTTTAAAGGACATAAAATGCAATGTCACAAGATAATTCTGTTATTTTTTTAAATGGACTTGTTATTGAGGATTTGAAACTTCTGTCAATGAAGTAAAAGTAAAGGAAAGGGCACTGCAGCTCCGTACAGTAAAAGTTCAATACATGGGAGGAGTATTTTTGGAAGAGTTAAATGTCAGATTCTTAAATGCTTAGAATTTGTGAATTGAATCCAATTTTAAAGAGCAGTAAAATATGGAATGCTCCAAATTTGACACTTAGGAGTGTGTTGTCCTTTGGTTAGTATAGCATCTTGTTTTGATGCCTAACTGAGAATCTTTGCTATTTTGAAAAGCTGGCCAATCTTATCTTAATTGTTACATATGCTGAAATTGTTCATGCCATATTTTTACTGGTGAGTCCCTGTAGAAACGAATATGGAAGCAAAAAGATGATAAAAAAGATGGTTAGCAGGAGTTATGTTTTACACATGACAAATAATTCTGTACTACTTATTTTCTGGTAAATATAGCCAATGGAGTTTAGGGAGCTATTCAGCTCATCAGCCAGTATGTTATAAGATAATAAATTTAGCATCCTGTTGCCGCTCCAGAAGGAATCGGATCTTTTGTAAGTTCTGTCTGTCAACCTTGTATGGATATCTCAAAACCCTTCAGTGATCTCAAATGACACTGAATACCTGAATACCTGTATATAGAGACGTGAATTGAGCCTTGGGCATTTAATTGAGAGTGAAGCATACTATTTTCCAGGCTCCATTGACTTTGTTGACTATATCTTAATTGACTGAAATGGGAGAGACCTACCTCCAAGGTGACCACGCCTTCAGTTAGCATCCTAAATGTAGGTGTCTCTGAAGTTTTATCTCTAGCTCACATATCAAAACTACATTTAGATACCTATATTCAGGTGTGTCAATTTCAAATTGAACTCTACACAGTTTCCTCTTCATTTTTAGATTTTGGCAAAACATTTGAAATGTAGTACCTCAACTCTTTTATTGGTTTGCCAGGAGACGAATAGCATGATTACTGTACAAGCTAACATCAGGTTCTCTACAGATATCTTTATTTAGGTGAAATTGAGTTTGTCCTAGGAGTGGATAAGTTTTAGGAAAAATTCTGAGCAGTGGGCATTATCCTAGGTGATTTCTATCGCCAGCATTATAACTTAGTAAAATTTGTTTCTGTAATATCTTATGTAGACTTACTCGTACAAAAGTGAGATAAACAGAAGTCATGGAGTAGGTCTGATCTTTTGAGTTATTCACTGAACACACTTTTGCACATTACCTTTTTTGAAAATTTTTTAAAAAAGCACTTCTGAAGTGCTAAAGTAATGAAGTTAGTATTTTACCACAGACAAAATCCATCCTTTCTCCACAAAATCTCTAGTAAGGAAGACAACTTGTATTGATATTCCACCGCGATTAGTTTATCACTTTGACTTTTTAGAGCTACAGAGTACTTCAATTTAGTATTAGTAGAATTTCCATTTATTATTGCAGCTAGCTTTGATGAGGACAAAGAATTGCTATAGACTGTATTACATATTGGTGGAATTACGAAGCAAGAGTTATAAAAAATGAGCTAAGGCATTAAATTAATTACTCTCCCATAGTTCAAGCCCATGTTTTGTTGGGGTCAAAGGGCATTTTACAAATGAATTGATAAAGTCAGTCTATCTAGTTTTCTGGTAGAGTTTGTCTGCTATGTTTTTTTATATGTGAATAAAACTCATCATCTGCTTTGTTTGTGCAGTAATTATATTTTGTTGTCCTGTGCATTCCTTTTGCTCTATCCATCTTATAATACGTGCTGTAAAAGCACACATAAATAAATAGGATAAACAAATTAAGCTGTTTAAATAAATTAATTTACTCTGCAGCTCTGTATTCAAATCTTATATGCTCACTGGATTTCATTTTAATGAAACCCTTCTAAGAACAATACATTGTATGCCAAACAGTGAAATTATATTAAATAAATGATTAAATATACCTCGTTCCAATTTATACCAAATCTGTACACTGTGCATGCTTAAATCCTACTAAATCTAAGGAAATAAATCTTCTACATTCTGAAAACATATGCATTCTGGTCCTCCTGTTTAATACCCAGTTCATGGACATATAAACACAATGGAACTCATAATAAGCCTAGAGCTATGTTGCAGGTAAACTATACTCATCAATGTTTTTGACTTAAAAACCCGAGACTATTAAAGTGGAATCCACTTAAATGTCTTGATACATTGTTCTGAAAGGTCTTCACCCACTCCATTAATAAGACCACTGAATCCCTTTGCAATCACAATCTCAAGCTTAGCAAATATTTATTATAAAGTTTGTCTGGAACAAATCTATTGATTACTATAAATAGTCATGTTGCTAAGTTTCATAGGAATACATTTAGCAAAATAAATATTCATCTAGCTATTGTGCATGAAGAATAATGACTACTGCAAAATCAATTTGTAGTGTAAGGAATGAGAATGTTCTTTTCAGATAAACTTTTTAGGCATTATTAGCAGCAAGTTTTCATATGTGTTATTAAAGGCATGCTAATTGTATTATTTCGTTGTGTCAAGACAAAAGCATGTTGGACAGCTTTTAGTGATTTCAACTTGATTTTTTTTCTAATTAGAAGTCAGGATTTCAGCCAGTGTGCAGTTATTGTCCAAACAAAACAAAAAATACCTTTTTAAAAGTTGTAAGTCCCTCCCAGTAGATTTCTTCTATAGCATTTTTTTTTACTTTTATCACTATTCAACCTGACTCATATTTATTTGGACTCTGGGGAGCTATTAGCAATAAAGAGGAAACTGCAGGGAAAGACAAAGAATTTTCTAGAAAGGACTATTCTGCAATGGTCAAGCTCATCTCCTTTTGTTTCTGGTTTCTATTAGAATTCCATACAAATATCAGATATATCTGCTACAAATCAATGATTTTCACATAGCAAGACAAGGACCGTTCCAAGCGCCACAGTTCTCATGCCCTAATTTTCCAAATCAAGGGATATCTTGAAGTTCATTGCAGCTCTTCCAAACCAACATGCCTAGCTTTCCCCTGGGTAGAAAAATGTGGGTAGATGAAATGCCTCCTGCCGCGCTGTGGAGCAGTGATGTGGCTAGTGCTGAAAAATACTGCTAGGATAAACATGGTTTATTCCAGATTTGTGCTCCATAGTACAGACCTTTGGACTTTCATCAGACACATTACTAATGTCGGTCTAGTAGAGACATAATCTATCATCCTTAGGAGTTCCATAACATCTCACTTTTCAAGAAGCCTCTTGGAAATGAATTTGTGGGGAAAACTTCCACCCAGCATGAGTTAAAGCCATGCTGCCTGATCTTTATCTACGTACAGAAGTACATCATTCCTCATCCCATGACGCTAGTATCTCTAAGCTAGTAAACAAAATGTGTGTTTACAATTCAATGGCGTGCTGGTGCAAGTGAGAAGAAAACGTGAAATAAAACAAAATGAAAAACTTATTTTTATAGATAGTTCGGAAGGCAGTTTAAAAGCCTGATAGGATGAGTAGCTCTCAAATTACATAGTAAAATGTAAGATCTAAAGTTCTGGACTTGTTAAGTTTCCTTTGAAGATAGTCTGCAAATCCCGGAGACCTCAACACAGGAAAAAAATATGTTGTGATTTAGGAGGGAAGTACAGTTTAGGGAAATGATATTTGGAAGCCACAAAGGTTGTTTTCTTTAACATACCTTTTTTTGAAATTATCTTTTGTGGGGTACAGGAACGTGTTCCAGACAGCCCTTCTCCTGCTCCTTCTCTTGAAGAGGGCCGAAGACCTGGCAGCCATCCATCATCTCATCGAAGCAGCAGCGTGTCCAGCTCTCCTGCACGAACTGAGAGCTCTTCAGACAGAATCCGTAGGTCACATTCTTCTCCTTGTCACCACTTTAAATTTGATTAGGTGCAGCTGTTTTTTCTAATCAAAATGCCCTCATCTTAAGCAGTTCTCCTATGTATCATGTTCTGAAGTTCAGCTGCAATAAGTATCTCCCAACATTATGTTTCCCAGTTTACAGTATCATAACATTTGATGCTACATTAACAGGTACAGATATAAACTGCCATCATGTCATATTAAACATAAAGATAGGAGCTATGAAATATAGAATTGCAGCTGGAAAGCAATTTGCTAGATTAGTTTTAGAAGTGAACATACACTGTAAACATTTTTTTAAAGAAATTGAGTTTTATTTAATCTGGTTACTCTAGTTTGATTTCTAAATTGAATATGATTCCATAGGTAACATTTTACATGGTAGAGTTTCTTGATAAAGAGAAAAATTAGGTTAAATCAATTAAAAATTCTGCATATTATATAAATCCTTTAGGTAGGAAAACATGTAATGATAAGAAATATGATACAGAGAGTATTGTCACCTCATAACTCACAAGAGGTGGAGTGAGATTAAACCACGGTACCTCAGACTAATACCATTTTTATCAAGTCTACCTGTACAGGATGCAAATTACATAGCAAGGACCCTGGATTCTGTGATATTCCAGTGCAACAGACTGGAGATTGAGGTTTTTAACTCATATTATATTATGGGTATTAAATTAAATTCATAGTACCCTTTTCCATTCCTTTAATAATTCCTCTACTGCAGATTTCTATACTGATAAGGCATCACTGAACAGAGGAATTTGTCAGTAGGTAAAACTGGAGTTTTTGGCATACAGATAGAAGGCTATGAAATAGCTATGAAATTTGTAGTCATGTTAGTTAGATGGAGCACATGCATCTTGTAGACTCTTTTCTTTTAGGCTCTTTGCAGACTCAGGAAGCTGACTCTTCTTGGACTTTCAGAAGAAAGATATTTTATTATTTTGTGATGAAAAATGGCTTACCAAAGAAAAAATGAAGTGATAAATTCCATGACCATAAATGAGTTTCTATTTACTTATCACTTAGATGATTCAGAGTGCAGATTAGACTCACTTTCCCTATACTATGACCTTTATATTTCCCCGGGCTTTTATGAGTTCATGAGTAAAGTTCTGAAAAAACAGCTGTTTTTTGGTTTTTTTTTTTTTTGGATAATTGATTGAATTGTTCTGTAAATAAAAAAGCAAATTAAATGGAAAGATCCCTGTTGTTTCTGCTCAGGCATAATACTTTTTAGAAATAGTACGACTTAGGTCACCCTGTTTACTTACCAGCAGTTAGGAGTGGGAGCTGTACCCATTGTCTCTTTCAGTGATGAAGATAATAAGGTTCATTAAATACTGGGCCACTTCAGTAGCTTATTTATTTAAAAAATCAACCTTTCCTCTACTATGTGTTTTGTTAATATCACATTCTTAACTGCGTTTCCATTTGTGGTGCCAGCAAGAGTAAGATGACTGCAGAAGAAATAAGGGTTCCATATGGGAAAATGTTTTACTGAGAATGGCATAAGCCTCTTGCAAATACAATTTTTAGGAATATAGGCATGGGGATATAAACTACCTCATATGAGTTTCTCAGGTGTGTGTGAGACTCCTGAAGCTCTGTTTCAGGTTTGTTTAAGAGAGCTTTTCAAACTATCTGATCATCTAGTCAGCAAAGCTGCTAAGACACAGTATACTTTTGAAAAGCTATAATGTCTTACGTGGAAGACCACAATGCCTAATTTGAGGAAGTTGGGGATTGCATATTAGGAATGATAATATGCAAGAGTTTTTGTACAACTAACTAAAAAGAAATCAATAAATATCTCATTTAGAGCCTTCTAATCTCCAAATTGTTTCATTTGGATTTTCAGCTTTTGTTAAATGTTTGTAAATATCCTACTGAATCCAAAGATATGAAACTCTTCTTTTTAAAATGAACTCTTGAAATAAAAGAAATAACAGGAAGAAGCTCTCTCACTATGTGGCTGTTGATAAACCTAATTAAAGTAATGTTGGAGTTATTAGAATTCTTGTGTAAATGAGAGTAAGAATATATAGACTAAGTATAAAAGTGTGTCTGTTAATATTATGACTGATTTTGTTTCTGTCTCTGCTTGTGTCTAGCAGCTGTCCATCAGAATGGGCTATCTATGAACCAAATGCTGATGGGTTTGTCACCTAATGTCCTCCCTGGCCCTAAAGAGGGTGATCTGGCTGGTCATGATGTGGGACATGAGACAAAAAGAATGCACATTGAGAAAGGTAATATGAATATTATGATCTTAATATTTCTGTGTAAAGCAAGCATTATCTCCATAGCTATTTATTATTATAACTGCAATATTTATTTATATTTTAATTTTTAAAAAATGTTTGTTGTTTTCGAAGTTTAACAAGATTTTCTTTATTCTACTTTGCAGTCTGAGACATTAATGAGTTTATATGACAGAGGAATTTGATAAATATTGCAAAAAAAGTTAGCTACCTTCAACTTAAGATATTTCTTCCTTATCCAGTGTGATGATTTTAATCATTAATACTACTGTGATGAGTGAAAAACAGGTTTCTATTACTGTTGTACTTCTGGCTCTTCTACAACACCGTTTAGGTATTAAGCTTCCGTCTCACTTCAGTTGACTTTTAATGACCTACTTCCCAATGGGGCTGAGTGCCATGACAATTAGTCCATGTGTGTGAAAAGGAAAAAGACTAACGCCAAGCCATTAAATTAGAAAATTGCATAAAATGAGACTCATACACATTATATAATGGAATTTAAATTTAATTGACTATATGATCAAAGTGTTTGATCTAGGTAAAGCGTCTATATGCACTTATACTGATTATGGCACCATTTCATGACTATTGGTATTTAAAATTATGTTCCTGTAAGAGGTAGTTCTTTGTTTTTTTGAAGAGGGCTTGTATTTTTAAAAAGCGTATCCCGTGTATTGTATTTATTTAACATATATGAATTGTAAGTACTATTTATAGATTATGAACATTTTGGTAGAAGAGAGGTAAGAAATATAAGACATATTCTTCGGACTAACCAGAAAATAAGTTCTTTGAGAACAACGAGGGGAAAAGTAAAAGATATAATAGCCAGACATTGAAATAAAGCTGAAGAAGGTGGCTGCAATAATGAAGATTTCAGAATCGGACATTTTGTGCCATATTTTAATTCATATAAGATGCTGCCTTCTCTGTCTTGTGTTTGAACACTGAAATATGAAAAAGAATCAAAACTGGGTGCTTCCGTTCTGGACAGCTGGCATTTTTAATAGGATTACCCCAAAAAATTAAAAGAAAAAATATTTCTTTTATATAAACCATTTAGTTTGATTCATTGCACACAACCTGTCTCAGCTTATCTTGTGCCCTCACTAAGCCCCTGCAAACTGTATTCCTGCTTTTCTGTAAATGATTTTATTTCAGCCTTTGAAGTTACTCATTTAAGTGTAATCAGACTAGTAAATTCAGCAGAGAAGTATATATTAAGAATTCTTACTATTTTTATGTCATTCAAGTTTTTTAAAAGGTTTGTTCATAATGGTACCACAAATGTATTTTCCAAAGCTGTCGCCAGTTCAGGCTTTTTTTAAGATCTATTCTCAGTAAAACTGCTGAGAATTCTTTTTTCCATAGTCCTTGTTTAGGTCAAACCTTCTATTTTTCTTTCTTTTTTATCCTCTGTTCCAGCCTACTGCATTAGTGGTAAATATTCATGGGCTATCTAGATTGATAGGGTATACTAAATTAAAAATTGTTTTCTGTCATGACTACATTTATCATGTCTCTCATACCAACCCTGTAATTTTAATACTAAACTAATCTGTATTAAAACAAGTGATTTAACTTATAGATATTTGTGGAGATAGCAATTGTCTACCTCTGCCATTGTGAGCTTGCAATTGGATCCCCAAACTGTTGCTTACCACTGCAATTTAGTCAGAATGCAGTCATATTTAAAAAAGCAAACAAACATGTATCGGGACTGGTAGTCTTAAGTTGAAACCACATTGCCCTCATCGTCTGATTTGAAAGAAAAAGAAAGAAAAGAGAAAAACAGAAGTTCTAAGTTTCATTAAGCATTTAAACAGTACTCTGTTTTCTTCTGAGCCGCATTTGTGTCAGCCTATCAGCTGAAAGTGAAATGGCTTTTAATTACACCTGTGAGAAGCTGGGAAATCTTGCCTTGTAGAGGAGACCCTCTCTTTATTCTTCCTGCCCCCTCTTCCGTTAAAAGAAAGAAAATATAGGTAGATAGAAAGATAGATGGATCTCCAGTGATCTGAGTTTGGGGAAAATTTGATTACAGTCAATATAGAATTTAAAGAAGAAAAAAATTGTAACAGAGATAAGTAATCAACATATATTTTAAGAAGACTTAGCATAAGTCAGAGGAGCTAATTGTCTGTCTGACCTGATCCATGACATTGTTGAAAAAGAGAAGATACCTCTTATCCTATGTAAAAATAAAAAAGGAGCTGATTTACCAAGGCCATGGGACACAGAGTAATATTTTTAGAACAGTACATTGGTACTGGCAAACTGAATACCAGCATGATGGTATTCAGTCTTTTAAAACTCATATGCATTTGTATTTAAAATTCATCCAGAATTATTATCGATGGCAAAAATGAGTTTATTTATTAGAGTGAAGTTAACTAGTAAATATTTGGTGCAGTTTTCTATTTGCTTTTAGTCTATCTTCAAAGTCTATTCTCAGATTACGGTATGCAAAGTGTTGAGTGACCTCAGCTTCCACTGAAGTTAGTTTGTCATTATCCCAGCGAGAATGGAATTAGTTTCTATGAACCTATTTCATAACCGTTAAAATAGAGACATTTGCATCAGACTGTAGGTCTGTTGCAGGAAAATAGGAAGAGCTTCTTTTCTCAAAGATGTGAACAGTGGAAACATTTTCTAGCTGCTAGTTCCAGATGTGCAATTTGGCCACATTCTAGCTTTAAGTTGGGGCAAGACCCAATGTATATATTTCACATTCCACCCACTCTCTGTGATCCATGAGAAGAAAACTTGGAATTGTTGTCTAGAAGATTTATGTCGTGTTCTGGCCAGGTTCCCAGTTTGGACTATGGGAGGCTGCAGGACACACTGCAGAGCACTTCTACCTCACAGTTCATACGTAATACAAGATGGTGTAATCTGTGTATGCAGAAAAGTCAGGTACATTGAATTTCCAGTACTCTTTTTTTCCTTATTAGAGCATAGTAGATTTTCCAAAATTACTGGATCTAGGCTGCAGAATTGCAAATGATCCTGAGAAGGAGGAGGTAAGTTCAAGTACTTGACGTTAGTTCCAGTACTTGACAGCAGTCATCAAGACCAAGTATCTAATTTTGTAACCTGTAATTATGGACTATTTGATGATGCATGTTTGTTTGGTATAAAAACAGTTATGTGTCACAGAAAGGATTTACATGAAGCATAGAGGTTGTATTTGTGCAGAAAAGATCCATTCACTTAGTTACCTAAAAATTAAGACTCTGAGTCACTTTGGGTACTTAAAATGCTAAAGTTTCTGTGACCCTAAGAGATTTCTGTAGATAATCCCTCATTTTCTTCTGATATGTTTTTTCGGATTTCTTATTTTATTATTCATAAGTTAGGTAGAATTCATCTATTAGGACTAAGATTGCAAGCTTGAAACTCCTACTTGGCTGTTTTGTGTGCTCCTGGAGGTCTACCATTCTGAAGTTGGCAGAAATGTATTTTTGAAGTTTCCCAGGGGACTACATAATCCTTTAGCTATTCGTTGAAGCTGAATGTCAAAGCTAGAAATAGCCTAGAAAAGAAGGCGCAAAAATCTAGTAGAGTACCTAAACGGTAGACTACTGAAACCTGATCCTTTTCTTGGTCATTGGCTCTGAAGTGTTTCAACAGAAGAGTCAAAATAGTCGATGGTTTGAATATTGTGACCCCCTGGTATAAGTCCCATAAGGTTGGAGGTGCGGATTCTCACTCCTTATAGGCAAAAGAGAGAACTGATCCTGTGACGCAAATTCTGAGCAACATCTCTAATCACTGTGCTTTGTATAAAAGAAAGAAATATGTTTTACCACCTTCAGTTTGCCTTTACAACCTAGACTGTGGTCACGAGGGAGGAATCTGTAGGGTGGAATTTACAGCCTGAAACTATTTCCAGAGTTTCTCCATTGACTCAATCCAGACTTCTGTGCACAGTTGCATGTTGACTTCAGGCACACCGTAGTTCTACTTGTTAACTTCATTAGACCCCAATTTGAAGCGTGTGCCTAGGTACTTACCTTATGCAATATATAGGAATCTAGGGCCCATCTCACTTCAGCCTAAGATTCTGTTTAGGGGACAAACACATAGAAGTTAGTTTCTTTAACAGCTAACTTAGATACCTAAGTCTTTTATTGGATCTGGCCCTAGGGCATCAGATTAGAATTTTCTGTCTGCATCAATTTATATTTTTTTAGATTGACACCAACAGCAAATGAAGCCTGAATGTCATGCTTACATTTTAAATTGAATATGTTATTTGAGGTGTTATGGGAAGGACACTCTCTCGTTGAAAATGTGCATGCTGTTTTCTATAACAAAATATAAAATATTCACCATGTTCACAAAATAAGCTAAACAATTTCTTTCAGAAATGCATTTTAACTTTAATGTTAGCAGAAATTTCTTAAGTAATTTTCAGATAAACAACAATAACTGCTTTCTGACTAGTATGATAGCAGCAATTAAGATATAACTTTATCAAATCAATAAATTAAAAATGCCCAGTATTTTCTCTCTCTTTGTATGTTATGCCCTTCTGTAGAGCAATCCTAGACCTCTGGCTGCTATCTTATAAAACAGAATATTCAAATAGAAATTTCAAAATATACTTAATGCAAAATGGAAAATAAATATTCCGTAATTATAATTAGAATTATATTTTCTTGTTGACAGTCATATGTCAAAGTAGGTACTAATAACAAATATCTCTGAATCTATAGTTATTCATTCTTTATTTTCAGCAGTAAATTCTTACATTTTTTAAATGTCACATATAAATACACCTTAATAACTATGTAAACTTATAAGAGTATATTTTACAAATATTAAGGACACAGAGGAACTGCAGCATTACCAGAGATTCTCTTCTAGCTGAGCTGTTTTCAAGCACAATCAGCAAACAAATGCTCCAGGGCTTTACTTAAATTATGTTTCTAGTCTTTGTTATGATTTTGGTTATTTCTCTGAGAAGATCTTTTCTAAAG